CCGTAATAACAAACTAATAAAATCTAATCGGCCAAGGAAGTGGCCTTAATAACAAAAAAAAAAAAAAAAAAAAAAAATTTCTTTAGTAATATAAGTCACCTTTAATAACAAAAAAAAAAAAAATTATAATTATACTCTCTTAGAAATATACAAATATACTTAGTCTTAGATAAAAAGCTAATTTGTACTTAACTATTAAATAACTATTTTTAAGCAGACTATATTCTACAAAACTACTCTTAAAATATATTTATACTAAATCTTAGTAGATATAATAAAATATAAACAGATAATACTAGCTACTAATAGAATTTATTAGTATAAACAAATTAAAACATACAATAAAAAAAAATAATAATAGAGTCTAGTGATCTTAGTATAGTAGTTAGGTTGTCAGACTGCTATACAAAAGGTTTAAGATTCAAATCTCACTATTAACAAATTTGAATAATTACTTAGATTTTTGTATCTAACTTATGATAAACTCTGTTCATTTCTGGAGTTGTAACTCTGTAAATCTTATTGTACTAATATTATCTAGATATTAGAAGTATAATATAACATTGTATAAATAAATCTTAATAGAATTTATGAGTAGAGAATCTGCATAGTAGAAATTCTGAATTAGTAAAATAGTATAGCTTTTGATAGTTATACTAGCTAATACTTAATTCAGAAAAAAAACTATTACTTTAAAAAATATAGATCAAGTTAGGTACAAGTAAATCTATTCTACAAAGAGGATTAGCAATACAAACTAGCTTAGTAGCTAACTAGATTAGAAAAATTTACTTTATAAAATATCTAAAAAGATTAGCAAAAAGAAAACTAGTAAAGAGCTATAGTAAAAACTAGAATAATATGAATATCATAAGAGTCTAAGCTAGATAAATTTGTGAAATAGATACAGATTACTCTAGTAGATATACTTTGAGGTTAACTAGAGCTTTGCATGTTCATAATATATTGAGCAATATGTATTCTGAGAGGATCTAAGCTAAGTTAGTAAATAGATCTATAACAAGCTAGCTAGCTTAAGTGATTAAATATTATAGTAATATTAGTTTATAACAGAATAGGTTAGTTAAACAGAGTATTTAAATAGATAATTTATAGATAAATTACAGATATAGTAGCATAGTATAGAACTAATTAAGTAGTCTATCATTTGTATAGTAAACTACTTAAATTAGACAATAACTAAAATTATATATATAGTTTATTATATATTCTTCATGTAATTACAAACTGTAGAGGATTACTCATATATGATCTCATATATCAAACTAATAAAATCTACTTGGCAATGTAAGCTACCTTAATAATAATAATAATAATAATAATAATAATAAATAATAATAATAAACTAAAAACTTATATTGTAATATTTTCTAATCAGAGATTACTTATAATACAAATACTAAAGAAATAATACTAAATAATCAGAATAATTTTGTATACAAATTCATATATACATATAACAAAAGATCTTCTAATAGATTTTATTACTCAAAAAACATTTATACTAACTAACAATATTATTCTACTAACTTAGTTCTCAATCAGTTTTAACTAGTTTTTTTCTTTGTCAGCTTTTTTCACTTAAGACTTATGATTTTTTATTTGTTTTTTTTTAATTTATTATTTAAATATACTTGAGTTACTAAATACTTTCTCTGTTGATCACTCTAACCAAATCTGAAGCAAAAAAAAAATTCAAAATAACTTAAGTTTTTCAATAAGAATAAGTATTTGAGTTACTAAAAAAAAGAAAAAAGAAGAAAGAAATATATATACAAAAGTAGAAATTATAAAAAATAGAAAGAAAACAAGAACTTAGAAGGAATTTTAGTTCTGAAACAGACTTTGAAAGAATTTTTTTCTTAAAAAATTAGAGAATTAAGTATACTCTAAAATATAAATCATTTTATATAGTACAAATATATAAACAACAAGGTAAACAAAACATATTATAGAAGAAATCACGTATTATATGACAAAACAGAACATGCTATATCAAAACCAAATAACTTATTAACGACTAAGAAAAATTATTAGAAATTTTTAAAAAAGAGTGAGATCACTTTAGAATTTGTAAATAGATTTATAATAAAAGGAACAAAGTAAGTACTAAGCAATAAGAGAACTCAAAGAGCTATACAAAGTAAGAATTTTAGGTAAGCATATAAAAAAGAAAAGATTAATTGAAGAAGTAACTAGAAAGTACAGTAAAGAAATAGAAATAGATAGTAGTAACTTAATATTAGAACTCAAAGAACATTTAGATAATATAGTTACTGATCTGATGAGAGTAGAATTAGAAATTATTAAAGTAGTAAAGTACTAGTATGTAGTAATCAAAAGAGCTGCAATAGCTAATAGATTAGATAGTATAAGAGCCTTAATTAAAATAGAGAAAGAAAAAAAATAAATTAAGAAGATATAGAAGTTAAAACAGAAGAAATAGATTTAAAGCAAATATCAGAACTACTAAACTTATGAAATATAATTGAATATCTAAACAATCAAATAGTACTAGCAAATTGTAACAAAGATAAACTTCTTGCAAATGAACCTTATAATGAATTGCTAAAAAAAATAGAAAATATCAAAATAGAGTTAGATACAAACAAAATAGAAAAGAGCAGAGAAGACTTGTCTAGTAAAAAGGTATATTCAAAGCTAGTAAACATAGCTTTGTATTAAAAAACTTCCTTAAACAGATATATTTAGATATTTAAAAAAGAAAGATACAAAAATAAAAAAGATATCAAAACAAAGGTAATAGCAATTAACATACTTGATAATAATAAAGAACAAAGAAAAAAATTATTAAGATAGTTACTCAAAAAAAATACTTATATCAAAGATATTACAGAAAAGTTTAAAAAAAGAAATTTATGATATATGATTCTTTTTGATTATAAAAAAAGATATAAGGAAGCAAAAGCAAAACTAGAAAATACTAAAGAAGACTTCAAAAAGCTTTGACTCTTATCTAATGAAGTTAATCAATTAATTTCATTTAAAAAGATACAAAAGAATTCTAATATAATACTAGAAAAAAAAAAACAAGATTGTTAGAGAGAGAAGAGCAAGAGACGAGCTTGATGAAATCCTAATACATAGAAGAATAAAATTATTAGATAAAACTCTAGTAATTAAGACCAAAAGAATTAAAAGTAAAAATATAGCTAAACAAATCAATAGAATCTAAAGATTTTAACTAACAAAGACTAAATAATAGTTTAGGACTTATCAGTTTGAACAAGTAGATCTAAAGTTTTTAAACTAGTATATTTTATCAGAAGAGTAGATCATATTGTAGTGATCCAAATTATTAGTTAAAAAACCAACTAGTTAATAAGTTTTCAACTAATCTATTTGAAAAATTTTGAAATAACTAATTGATTAAATTGTTAACTAGTTAAATTCTAAAATATTCTATCTATTTAAACTAGTTTATATTGATTTTTTTAGTTAGATTAGCTAATTAACAAATTTAGTTATATAATAGAAAAATTGATTAGTTATAACTATTATTAGCAACTAATTAATTATAAATATTTTTACTAACTCAGAATACTACTATATCAAAATGATCAAAGACCTTTTAGTAAAACAAAAGTAAAAGTAAACTTTCTCTTAGATGTTGTAATATAGTAACTAGGCTTAACAATTTTATAGATTCAAAAAGAGTTGTCATCACTATCTAAATCTAGCAACTAATTACTTAACTTAATAAGTTTGAAAGTTAAGAAATAAGTTTATAAAGTTTATA